GCTGGAGCTGAGAAATAGTTTACTCCAGTGTGCTACTGCCTACCTACTAACCCAAATATGGCTTGATGCATTTGTGCTACCTGTTTGACTCTATGGTCTTTTGAGTTTGTGTGACCCCTACCATAAGGACATGGCATGGCCCAAGGGCTGGTGCCTCCCAAAGGATACTGTAGCCCCTCTTTTTTTTAATTTTTATTTTATTTTATTTTATTTTGAGACAGGGTCTCACTCTGTCACCCAGACTGAAGTACAGTGGCGCTATCTTGGCTCACTGCAACCTCTCCCTCCTGGAATCAAATGATTCTCCTTCCTCAGCTTCCCAAGTAGCTGCCTCAGCTTCCCAACTGCAGGTACCTGCCACCATACCCGGCTAATTTTTGTATTTTTAATAGAGACAGTGTTTCACCACATTAGCCAGGCTGGTGTCGAACTCCTCACCTCATATGATCTGCCCACCTCGGCCTCCCAAAGTGCTAGGATTACAGGAATGAGCCACTGCACACAGCCAGCAACCTCTTTTTAGAGTCATCATTACAAGCAAATGTGGTCAGGCTGCTCCGGAAAGAAGTGCTGGAATCACCTCAGGATAATATAAGGGTATCTTCACTATTTCTACTTGACAACATACCGGAAAAGTTGTTTCATTCACACACCCTCTCTCTCACTCACACAGAGAGTTATCCCTATACAGTCATTCCTAGGTTTGCATAAGGGATTGGTTCCAGGAACCCCCTCAGATATCAAAATCTATGGATGCTCAAGTCCCTTATATGAGGGGTGTAACCCATGTGCCTCTTTCTATATACCTTGAATTGTCTCTAGATTACTTATAATACCTAATGCAATGAAAATGGTATATATAATTAGTTGTTATACTATAGTTTTAAATTTTGTATTATTGTTACTGTTGTTATTTTTATTTTAAAATGTTTTCTAGGCCAGGCACAGTGGCTCACGCCTGTAATCTCAGCACTTTGGGAGGCTGAGGCAGGTGGATCACCTGAGGTCAGGAGTTTGAGACCAGCTTGGCCAACATGGTGAAACCCCATCTCTACAAAAAAATAAAAAGTAAAAAAGCTAGGTCTGGTGGCACACACCTATAGTCCCAGCTACTCGGGAGGCTGAGGCAGGAGAATTGCATGAACCTGGGAGGTGGAGGTTGCAGTGAGCTGAGGTTGCAGTGGGCCAAGATCACACCACTGCACTCCACCCTGGGCGACAGAGCAAGAATCCATCTCCAAAAAAAAAAAAAAATGTTCTATTTGAGATTGGCTGACCCTGTAAGACTCAGAGCCCCGCAGATATAGAGGACCAACTATATATGTGTGTGTGTGTGTATATGTGTGTGTGTGTGTGTGTGTGTGTGTGTGTGTGTACACACACATGCATATTTTGCCAGAGGAAATTTATATTGAATTAGGACAGAATTCTAATTTCATCTGTTCTCAAAAATAATTATTAAAGAAACAAAGCTAATTAAAAAGTGGTCATTTTATTAATACTCTAAGCCTTTCCACAAGATATTTGAATTAGCTTATACAGTATAATATTACAATAAGGTGTGTGTGTGTGTGTGTATATACTTTATGTATATAAAATCATATATAATCACATATATATATATTTACTTTATATATATACACATATATATGTAATCAGGACCAGAAAATATATCCAAAGAGTAAGTCCAGAAGGATAAAACATGGATATCAGGACCTGAGGTCTGGAGAAACAGGCCTTGTGTGAGTATGGGCTTATATTTCAGAGAAGCCAGAGTGTGAGTGGAACTTTTCGTACAAATAGTACCACAATATTATTTTTTGTTTCGTATGCTTATATTAGTTTGCTGATATTGTTCTATGTTGATGTTTCTCTAATTCTGCAGAGGTGACAGCTCTGAGCAACTGTTTTCTGGTGGCCATCAGAAAATGTAGATTTCGTGGGTAGGGTTAATCAGCACTGTGTCCTGAGCCCTCATTCTGTATTTTTACCTAATCTGTATTGCCAACAGTAAAGGAATGGGTTGTGTGGGATGTGATGAAGTGAGGTAGGGGGTTGGGGAGTGGGCAGAAAAGGCAGTAGGTGATAATGAAAGCTCTCAGCAGGTAGGCTTGAGATCCTTTGCAGAATTGTTTTGAGCAGTGGTAACCGACAGCTGTTATAAAAGTCTGCATTTCCTGTATTTCTGATTAAATGAAAGCAGATCACTGGATAATACACAAGAATGGTTTTCATTTCTTAAAGTGATTTATGATCAAATGCAATTAACATAAAATGATTGGAATTACCTTACCTGGTCCTGAAGCTGCCTGCCTTAACTGCTTTATTAGGAAGGAGATTAGAAGAGAGATTGTGTATAGAAAAAGATACATCTGTGTGTGTATGTGTGTGTGTGTGTGTGTGTGAGAGAGAGAGAGAGAGAGATATTAGAATCCTTGTTCTCACAATGTCAGGAAATTATTGTGTATTAAATGAAAAAATTAGTAATAGGCAATAGGTCCTCATGAAGGCATTTATAAGTGATGCTTTATGGTATTAGTGAACCTACCTTTATAGTAAATGTCAAGGGAAGGATACTTTAGTCAAACATGAAAGTTTACAAGGAAAGAATTGCATTTGTTTTCATGCAGTAAAGATGGAGCAAATGCCTGAATGTTAACGATATTGTAAACGGGTTCAAATTTTCAGGGTCTAGGGAAGAAATGGAGATTTTGTGTCTTCTGGCTAACTGTTGAGGGCAAGAGTGTCATAAAAGACAAAAAGTGGGTAGGTGTGGTGGCTTACTGCTGTAATCCCAGCATTTTGGGAAGCTGAAGCGGGAAAATCCCTTGAGATCAGGAGTTTGAGACCAGCCTGGCCAACATGGCAAAACCCCATCTCTACTAAAAATACAAAAATTAGCTGGGCATGGTGGTGCACTGTAATCCCAGCTACTCAGGAGGCTGAGGCATGAGAATCACTTGAACCAAGGAGGCAGAGGTTGCAGTGAGCCAAGTTCACGCCACTGTACTCTAGCCTAGGCAATAGAGGAAGACTCTGTCTCAAAAAAATAATAATAAAGGCAAAAAGGTGAGAGTGAATTTTGTAGCAATCTTAAAGAATGTGTAGACTTGCTGGATGTGGTGTCTCACACCTGTAATCCTAGCACTTTGAGAGGCTGAAGCAGGTGGATCCCCTGAGGATCTCCTGAGGTCAAGAGTTTGAGACTAACCTTGGCAACATGGTGAAACCCTGTCTCTACTAAAAATACAAAAATTAGCTGGGTGTGGTGGCAGGCACCTGTAATCCAGCTACCCAGGAGGCCAAGGCAGGAGAATTGTCTTGAACCTGGGGAGCGGAGGTTGCACAAGTTGAGATCGTGCCACTTCACTCCAGCCTGGATAAAAGGGGGAAACTCCATCTTAAAAAAAAAAAAAAAGAAGAAGTGTAGACTGTTTCTAACTGAGCAATGCCAATTTTAAAGTTCATTCAAAATGCTTTGAAAGTATAATTGCCACAGGCGCTACCTTTCAAGTGGAAGTACTCTTGGGTATAAGCCAAGCCACATAACAAATTATCCCATATGTTTCCTTGCATTAAGTGTTGATGCCTGAGTAATGGGGGAAATGAACAATTTTGTTAATAATAAGGAAATGAAAAGTCAACTTTCTTGTTATCTGTCTTAGTCATTGGTGGAGGGGAGGGGGAATGGCATGTTCCTGGAGGACAGATACCAGGTTCCCTTTCTGCACCCAGCTCGCTTCCCAGAGCATATTGGCTCTGCCTAACTGGTTGGTTTTGAGGCAGTGCAAAATTTGCCTTTTGGTGTGGAAGGATGTTTTTTGTTTTTGTTTTAAGCTATTCTTTGATAATATTTTAAGGTTTTATACATAAAACCATGTACATAAAGGTTTATGTTTTAAGGTTAAAATTCTAATGAAATAACTTATTTTTACTCTATGATAAAATAGGACAAACTATGGGCACTAAGTCAGAGTCCCAGTTAAGAAAAATGACCAAATAGAAATATGCCATAAAGATTTCTTTTTCTACTTTAAAAAAAATTTACTTCAATTTTGAGGCTTGCTTTTATTTAACCAGCCTCATTTATGAAAATCAGATAAATAAAAAAGAGATAACTTTTTTTTTGTTTTTTGTTTTTTGTTTTGTGCGAGACAGAGTCTTGCTCTGTCACCTAGGCTGCAGTGCAGTGGTACAGTCTCAGCTCACTGCAACCTAAATTCCTGGGTTCAGGCGATTCTCATGCCTTAGCCTCCTGAGTAGCTGGGACTACAGGCATGAGCCACTACACCTGGCTAATTTTTGTATTTTCAGTAGAGACGGGGTTTCACCATGTTGGCCAGGCTGATCTCGAACTCCTTACTTCAAAGGATCCGCCTGCCTGGGTCTCCCAATGTGCTGGGATTACAGGCGTGAGCCACCGGCCCAACCCCAGGGAACGCTCTCTGTGCTTTATTGCTATCTTTGGTAATTCTATGCTAACTTGCTGAGTGTTAATCTGTATTAAATCACATTGCTGAAAGATACGTTTGAATTTTGGAGGGTGTTGAGAATTAAAAAGTCAGACATGGATAATTTTTAGAAAATACTCCTATTGTGCTTTAGGTGTACTCTTAAAAACAAATGAAGTGGTGTACTATGACACATTGTAAACAGTCTCTATCATGCATTAAAATGAATCTGATTCAAAATACAGACTCTGTCTCTAAAAGCCTGCCTTAAAGTAAACAAACAAAAAAAAACCCCACAGGCAGAGGTGGTTTCCGATGGTTTCATAGTATATGTCATTTGCCTAGAGTGCTGAGTACAGTAGCTGTAAGTAGACTCTCCAAGCATTCTATTGAAAGGTACTTAATGCAGATTACAACTAAATAACTGGATTTTGTTTGGGTCATGTTCATTGTGAAATGCACAAATCAGTGGGTTTGTCTTTAGTCATCTTATTCTCATTTGGGGTTGATGGAAATGAAGTAAGGACCAAGTAAACAACTTTTTTTCAGGTGCAAATTCGACCATGGAACCTAAGTGACAGTGACTTTGTAATGGATGGTTCTCAGCCTTTGGACCCCAGAAAAACTATCTTTGTTGGGGGAGTTCCACGACCCCTTCGAGCTGGTGAGTGGAAATAGTAACACCACAACAACAAAACCAACAACAACAAAATCCCCAATGCCTTTAGTCTTAAGTATTTTCTCGGTTTCTAGTCAGCTATACACAGTCTCCAAAAAGAAGGCTGTTGTCATTTTCAATGAGCTTTTTCAGGATTAAAGGTTTTCTCTCAAAATGCTTTATTTTGTTATGGTGCAAAAGTAATTTCATTAGACAATTATGTTGAAAAAATGAATTATATTCAGTGCTTTCCTATTTACTCACTTATATAAAAAATAATAACACATTTGGCAGTGTGCATTCTTCTGCCAGTCAGCATTATTATGTATGACAGAAGTCTGTCTTCTTTAAAGCTTCCCTGTTTTTTTTAAAGTTCCTTTCCAATGATGAAATAATTGTGCTGCTGGATTTGAGGAGAATCGTAATTGACTGGAGAGTTTGAAGTGACGCTGAACTGATAACTTCAGTGTATATTTACATCGAAAGACAAATCCAATCAGCTGTGCATCAGCCTCCTAATAACCAGTATTCATGCCAGTGGAGTATAACAAAATTATTTCTAAAATCTAAGTTTTTGAAGCACTTAGAATAATTGAGTTTAATTTTTTAAAGTAAGACAAAAATGTTACTGTCGCCACTGTAGTTGTGAAGTTACATTTCTTTTGTGTTATTTATATGCAAGTAGACTTAGTTCTACCTAAAAATTAAAACAAAAAGCAGAGATCATTAAAATCATGTTGTGAAACAGAATTATAAAATGTAACATAAAGTTATTTGGGTGTGTGACTTTAATGACTTCTTAATTCTGAAAGTTCCTTAACGTTCCTAACATATTTATCCAAATCCCAACTCCAGCCTACACCTAAAGGATAACATTAGACCTATATAAAGACATTCATAATTTCATTTTGAAGGACTTTTAAACATATTTATTCTGATTGGATCTTATGTTCTTCATTCTAATGGAAAACTGTCAAAAGATAAAAGCAAAGCTGCATAGATGCCTCCCTTTTATCTGCAGTTGGAGAATAAAGTCTAAGAAGGGCTAATTCAAACATGAAAAGAATTATGAGAGGAGAGCAAATGCAGCCCTTGTTTATAAACTGTACTTTTTAAAAATGGTAGGTGGAATATTTCTGACATTTTTTTTTTTTTGAAATGGAGTCTCACTCTGTTGTCCAGGCTGGAGTGCAGCGGCACCATCTCGGCTCACTGCAACCTCCGCCTCCTGGGTTCAAGTGATTCTCCTGCCTCAGCCTCCTGAGTAGCTGGGATTGCAGGTGCCCGCCACCACGCCCACCTAATTTTTGTATTTTTAGTAGAGATGGGGTTTCACCATGTTGGGCCAAGCTGGTCTCGATCTCCTGACCTCAGGTGATCCACCCACCTCAGCCTCCCAAAGTGCAGAGATTACAGGTGTGAGCCACTGTGCCCGGCCATTTCTGACTTTTTCTAATAGTGTTATGTTTAGGAGTGGGGAGGGACAGAAATCCTTTTTCACATTTTATAAATGGACAATCATTGCTAATATTCTAGCTATTCCTTTTGCAACAAACTACAAGCACAAATTAGTTTGTTTGTTTAAGATGGAGTCTCACTCTGTTATCCAGGCTAGAATGCAGTAGTACCATCTTGGCTCACTGCAGCCTCCACCTCCAGAGTTCAAGCGATTCTCCAGCCTCAGTCTCCCAAGTAGTTGGGACTACAGGTGTGTGCCACCACATCTGGCTAATTTTTGTATTTTTAACGGAGACAGGGTTTTGCCATGTTGGTGAGCTGGTTTCGAACTCCTGACCTCAGGTAATCCGCCTACTTCAGCCTCCCAAAGTGCTGGGAGTATAGCCTTGAGCCATCACACCCAGCCACAAATTAGTTTTTATGTTCTAGCCCCTTTCCTTTTTTCCTAGATAGAAATCTGAAAAAATATTCTGAAAGAAAAAGTCCTATAGTTATAAAAATAACAGAACTGGTTTTAACTTCTTATGTCTATCCAAGTCACAGACATACAAGTTTATAAATTAAACTTCAATTTGTATTATTCACTCTATTCTTCCTGTTTTAATGATTTGGAAAGATAGATAAGGGCCTGTATATAATTTTTCTTCTATAAATCCTGTGAGGATACCTTTTCCACACTTCCTGTGTGATCACGCCGACACTGCAAGAAGTGAATGCCAGGACATTAAATTGCATTCTTTAACATTTGGTGTCTGCAAGATGCCACAAATTCTAGGATTAGACAAGAATTATATTTAGTTGTCTAGTAAGAAATGGGATTTTGTGTTCCCTGACTAGATACTATACCTTTCATAATTCTTTTTTTTTTTTTTTTTTTTTTTTGAGACAGAGTTTCGCTCTTGTTACCCAGGCTGGAGTGCAATGGCGCGATCTCGGCTCACCGCAACCTCCGCCTCCTGGGTTCAGGCAATTCTCCTGCCCCAGCCTCCTGAGTAGCTGGAATTACAGGCACGCGCCACCATGCCCAGCTAATTTTTTGTATTTTTAGTAGAGACGGGGTTTCACCATGTTGACCAGGATGGTCTCGATCTCTTGACCTCGTGATCCACCCGCCTCGGCCTCCCAAAGTGCTGGGATTATAGGCGTGAGCCTCCGCGCCCGGCCCTCCTTTCATAATTCTTGAAGTTTTTTTTTTTTTTTTTTTTTGAGACCGAGTCTCCCTCTGTTGCCCAGGCTGGAATGCAGTAGTGCGATCTCAGCTCACTGCCGCCTCTGCCTCCCAGGTTCAAGCAGTTCTTCTGCCTCACCCTCACAAGTAGTTGGGACTGCAGGCATGTGCCACCATGCCTGGCTATTTTGTTTGTTTCTTTGTTTTTTTGAGACAGAGTCTGACTCTGTTGCCTGAGCTGGAGTGCAGTGGCGCAGTTTTTTTGTATTTTTAGTAGAGATGGGGTTTCACTATCTTGACCAGGCTGGTCTCAAACTCCTGACCTTGTGATTCACCTACCTCAGCCCCCCAAAGTGCTGGGATTACAGGTGTGAGCCACCGCGCCCGGCCTAATTTTTGTGTTTTTAGTAGAGACAGGGTTTTACCATGCTGGCCAGGCTGTTTTCAAACTCCTGACCTCGTGATCCCACTGCCTCAGGCTCCCAAAGTGCTGGGATTACAGGTGTGAACCACTGTGCCTGGCCGAAGTTCTCTCTCTCTCTCTTTTTTTTTTAAACTAAGCTAACATTTTTTGTTTTAAAATTGTTTTGTTTTTATAACTATGTGGATAGTAATCTAAATTTACTTGTTCTATTGATAATGTTCCCCCATGCCAACATTTCCCTTAAGTGTAGCTAGTTTCTAGGTGGCAAAGTAATCTATATTAGTGTCTTGGAATTTTACCATTCATCCCAAGACTCTAAGTTAGAGGACCATGTTATCAAGACAAAAGAGTTAACATCTGCAACTTGAGTCTATGATCATAGGAATTGGGTTTCTCTGAAACATACTGAGCTTTGTGAACTGATGTATACCTTGGAATGGAAGGCCATTTTTAAAGGAATTCATTGTGACTTTGGTAGAAATCTGAAATTGAATACAGGACAGTTCACTTGAATGATAAACATTTATTGAGCATCTACTGTATTACTAGCACTGCAAAGTATGTGTCATGCAAACCTGAATATCCCAGTATCATGTTAAAGAGGTCATGATATACAGAGAGTCAAAATATTTCAGAAGAAAACAAATGTATTCATAGAATGTGAACTCAGAATTAATTGGAGACCACATCATATTCTTTAACATGATTCTCACATTTGGTTTTGAAACACTTTAGAGCATTTTTTATTATTTCCAAGGGATATTGTAGTTATGGAATTTTAGAAAGTCTAAAACCATTTTAAACATTATATGCAAAGTGATCCTGGACTAGATATGGGTGACCTTCCTCAACAGGTGAGATTTTAGATGTCCAGGTGGATTTTTATCCTATTCAGGGCCAAAAAGTATTACTTAATATGTCACAGTGACTAAAATATTATCATGGAAGTGTTACTCCTTTGGATCTTGTGAGGTTTTGTTTTTGTTTTTGTTTTTTTGATATTTCCTCATTGTAAGACAGAGACCATTATCACTGATGGTTATTCTGAATACAGGCCTTATTCCTTTAAATGGAAATATACAAACACCTCTAAAGAAAAAAGGCAACCGGTTTTAAGCAGTATTGTCCTGAGTTTCTGGTTGTTTGGCAAGCCTCCCTTTTAAAAACTCAGGTTGGACCAGCCTGGGCAACATGGTGAAATACTGTCTCTACAACAAATATAAAACTTAGCTGGGTATTGTGGCACGTGACTGTAGTCCCAGCTACTTGGGGGGCTGAGACAGGAGAATCGCTTGAGCCCAGGGAGGTTAGGACTGAAGTGAGCTGAGATCACACCAGTGCACTGCAGCCTGGGTGATGGTGAGACCTTATCTCAAAAAAAAAAAAAAAAAAAAAAAAAGGTTGGAAAAAAGCACAGTCCTAGAAAGGAAAGGAAAAGAAAACAAAAACTGAAAATGGAAACATATCAGTAGAAAATTTAGATGAGCTTACTCACTCACTGCCTGGTCGTGGGTTTCTGTATATCAAATAATACACATTCTTACTGTCTCTTCCTTTTATCACTCCCATCAATGACAATTGCAAGCCAAGGATGGTTTGCCTGAAGTCTCCTAGTGTTTATTAGATCTTGTTTTCTTTCTACTCCCCAGCTCACCCTACCCTCACACTAGAAAAGTGTGTAAGTAGACTCACCGTGCCACCGTGTGGCTAAAGCTTACATATTCTTCAGTCTGTATAGGGAAATGGGCAGTTTGATTCTCCCCCTGCTACCACCTGGAAGTACATGTTGTCACTCTTCATTCACATAATATGAGCAACATGTCTTACTGAATCTCCATACAGAAATAGCCCTGCTGCATATCCCTATGGCATTAGGACCTCTTCACTCGAGTGCCAGGCTTGGGGGCTATGATATCACCAGGAAAAAGTAGAGAATGAGGTATGTGGTCTCTGTAC